CCTCTTGATGAAAGTGAAAGAGGAGAGTGAAAAAGTTGGCTTAAAGCTCAACGTTCAAAAAACTAAGATCATGGCATTCTGTCCCATCATTCCTCATGGCAAATAGATGGGGAAACAGTGGAAACACTGACAGACTTTATTTTCTTTGGTTCCAAAATCACTGCAGATGGTGACTGCAGCCATGAAATTAAAAGACGCTTGCCCCTTGGGAAAAAAAGCTATGCCCAACCTAGATAGCATATTAAAAAGTAGATGTTATTTTGCCAACAAAGGTCCATCTAGTCAAAGCTATGGTTTTTTCCAGTAGTCATGTATGGATGTGAGAGTTGGACCATAAAGAAAGCTGAGCACCAAAGAATTCATGCTTTTGAACTGTGGTGTTGGAGAAAACTCTTGAGAGTCACTTGGACAGCAAGAAGATCCACCCAGTCAATCCTAAAGGAAATCAGTTCCAAATATTCATTGGAAGGACTGATGCTGAAGCTGAAACTTCAATACTTTGGCCACCTGATGCAAAGAACTGACTCATTGAAAAAAAACCCTGATGCTGGGAAAGACTGAAGGCAAGAGGAGAAGGGGACAACAGAGAATGAGATGGTTGGATGGCATCACCGACTCAATGGACATGAGTTTGAGTAAGCTCCTGCAGTTGGTGATGGGAAGCCTGGTGTGCTGCAGTCCATGGTCTTGCAAAGAGTCAGACACAACTGAGCAACTAAACTGAATGCAAGGCAAAAATAAAAGTAGCAGTACAAGACAGGTAAGGATAGAGATTTCCATATATGTGTGTATATATAGTCAAAATAAAGACCAAAGAATCATACTCAAGCATATCAAAGAATACTGTATGAAAAAGAGGCTGGTCATGCTAGGACCAAATGGGCAGCACTGGGAGACAGATATGAGGGGGAAAGCACAGAAAACCACTGAAGTAAATAAAGGGAAGGAAGGAGGTGCAAGCTGTGTTTGAAGAACACAGAATATGTTCAGTGAGATGAGAAATGAACTTGGAAGGCAAGCCATGAAATCTAAGGTTACAAAGGCAGGCTGAGGCCAAATCACAGCTTCCCTCTGGAAAACAGCTCAGGAGTCTGCAACCTCACCTGACCTCTCTTCTCCATGACTTTCCAAAATGCTTCTGTTTGTATCTCTCCCTTTGTGCTCTAAATGGCAGACACTCAATAAATGTGTGTTGAATAATGAATTAATAAGATATTCACTGGTAAATGTTTCTATGTAATATAACTCAGGGAAATTGTGCAGTGCGTTGGAAGTGAACACTTAGCTTCTTCAAAAGTATCTTCTCTGTGCCCTAATGCTTGTTAAGCTGATAAATAAAAACCATGGTTTGTACAAGGCAAAATAATGCTGATAATTCACATTTTAAGGACATCTTGGCATATGTAACTGATATCTTACTTTATCTCACTTCAGATAGAAAGAACTCCAAAGGGACATAGAAAACACTGTGCAAATATTGGATGTTATTTTACGTGTAGAATGGCTGTGCAAATATTAACTATTTTAGTGATCATTTTCATCACAGGCCACTTACCAGGGGTCTGCAGAAAGTCTCATGAAGCAGGGGTCGTTGTACTTATATGTTAACCTGCCCACACCTACACACATTTTTCTGAGGCGCTCACAGGTAATTTTCTAGGGTGCTTGCCTTCGTGTATTTGTGTGTTTTTCTTAAATATCATAATTTAAATCATTTTCATCATTCTTCCGTCTCATCCACGTAAGTCCCTGGGGTCAGGGACAAGAGGAGACACTGAAAGTGTCCAACCGCTGACAGAAGTGAGAAGGTTCTTTCAGGTGGGCAGCGCTTCGCCAGCCGCGCAGTTCCTCACCTCGTGTCTCATCAAGGACCAAAAAAATAGGCTCCGGAGAAGCCTCTAGCAATGGGGGTGGTGTGAGTCTGCCTCTCCGACCATCTGAAAAAATACGCGTGTGGAGCCTGCTAGGTCCATTCACGGTGCTGGGCAGGAGACGAACACTGGACAAGGTAGAGAAAGTGTCCGGCCCCGCGCTTGCACAGGGCACAGGACCCCGCCTTCCAGAAGGCCCAGGGACCACCCGACCCCGGACGCAGGCAGGAAGCAGGGCTGGCCAGTCCAGGCCCCGCCCACTCGCTGCACATCCGCGCCCGTCGGCGGCGGCGGCGGCTGCGCGGGCCTCGGCTGCGCGGGCACGCGGGACGCCCAGCTGTCAATCACGCGCAGGGCTGAGTTCGGCGAGGCGGGAGCGGCGGCGGCGGCGGCGGCGGCGGCGGCGGCGATGGGACCCCAGCGAGAGATCTGCGGCTAGCTGGCTGCATTTGCTCCACGGGTCAGGGGATCGCAAGGGGGCAGGTAAAGCCTTGCGGAGCCCAGGGGTGAGGTTTTCTAGGCTCGATTTGTCTTACTCCCTTCTCCTCCCTTTTTCTTTCCTTCCTCTCTCCTCATGCACAAATATTCATATTCTCTGTCTTCACACACACGCGCGCGCGCGCACACACACACACACCTAATTCGTCCACGTTTATTATATGGGCACAAATCTCTGAAATCCATGCATGTTAAAATCCACCAATACGTACAAATTAGGAGTAACCAACTCCATTCTTCGGCGGTTTGTGGTTTATGTTATGTAAGAATTTGGGAGGTATACAGGGTGAAGTCAGGAGTTTCTTTCCTGTGAGACAAGAAAAGTTGTAATATTAGATGAGAGTAAAAATATATGGATTTGGGGTTTGCAAAGCTGAATTGATTTCTTTTCCAGGCTGAATGTATCCGCTCCTTGCCCTTTCCTCTCCTTCGCCTTATCTGAAGATGTTTGAGTTTTTTATATGATCTCAGCACCTACTTCTTTGTGTTGTTAGAAGGGGGAATTGGGTGCGGGTCAGACCGTAGCTGATTGACCTCAAAGAAAACAGCTGGGGTTGAACAGCTTTTATTTACTTAATTGGTTCCTGGCTCTGTAGCAGAAATATTTTCAGCACCTTGAACAGCTCCTTGGGCTCCAGACCAGGCCAGCCTCTGGTGAAGGGCATGTGTGGAGTCAGTTTTTTTCAAAGAAAGAGAGGTCGGCGACAGATAAAAAGAAGGATCATTAATGAGAGAGAGAGGCACAGACGAAAGACAGACAGACTTGTTTCTGTTACTTATCCAGACCCAGAAATACAATAAAATTTCAGGACAAACTAATGTCTTGAAGAAGGTTGGTTTGGGGCATGGTACATGCAAAGTGAACCAGGAAAATATTGAGGACAGTTTTTCAGGCCTCAGCCATGCTTACACACCTCAAGCCTTTGAGATTCTCCTGAAGATGGATGGGGAACTGTTCATCAGAAAGAATTCTTAACGCCTCTTGAGAAATATAGCCCCAGTTCTTATTTTCTTTCACATGACTAGAGTAATGTAGGAAACCAATAGCTCTAGAGCTGGCAATGGCTTTTTAATTAAATCTTGCATGGGCACCTGCTTTTCTTAGGCAGATGAAAAGTAAAATGATCATGATAGGAAGAAAATGGATATAGGAGTAAAAAAATCGACCTCATGAGTAAATCATCCAAAGAGCCTTAATAAGTCTAAAATGCATGTAAATAGATTAGAAAACACAATGACTATAAGATTATTTTACATTATAATGGAACAGGCACCAAAGAGATCAAATCTGGAGTCTCTATCGGAAGCTAGTAATCTTTTTCTTTAGACTTTGTAAAACACAACTGAGTCAGTCTAGTTGGTATTATTGACTGCATGGAATAGAATTATATCAAAATAAGAATATATTTATATAATGTGTTATAGTTTACAAATCCTTTTCATTTACATTATCTTCTTTATAAACTCTCATGAGAGCCCGTTAAAAAGTTATAAAATATGTTGTACTTTTGTAAATAGAAAAAAACTATCTTTGCTCTTGAACAGGAAGTCCTTTGTCGATGTTAAATGATCCCTTACAAGTTATAAAAATGACTTATGAAATTTAGACTTTTATCTGGATCACATTCTGCAGAGATTTTTATTCTTAACTAGGTTTGAAGAATGAGCCATTAAAAGGAAAAGTCAAAGAGTAAACAACAAGAAGAGGAAGAGGAGAATTTCAAAGGTAAGACTCAAACTTTGTCACATGTAAACTGGTAAGCACCTTGTGGTCTGCACCTCGATAAAGTTTAGCATGAATATGGATTCTTTTGCTCTGCTCATTTTGGTTTTGGACTTTATTTTATCTAACTTAAAAATACATCTCAAAGAGGTAAAGTAATAAGATAACTGCATATCATTATCTCCCCTCCCCCTTTAAAAATTATAACAGTGACTGCTTATCTACTAACTTAGAAGGAATAAAAATTAACACTGGAGAGCCATGATCTCTACCACTGTCCCAGGACAATGAAGTATCTCTGAATGAACCACTGTTCATTAGTAGAAACATTTTCAAGTTTTAAGTTCATGCTTATATAATTCCAGAATGCCTGATTTAAAAGTGAAAAAGCTGTTAGCAGGCTTTCATGCCATCCTGCATCCATTCTGAGTCTAACTGATTCTTTTAAGTGAATTGACCTTTTGGTGTGGTATTGGATAAATTATCTAAATCAGCTATGTGCCTATACCTTGCATCTGTGGCCCAGAAGTGGCTCTAATGAGAACTTCACTCTCATTATCTCAGAATGATTTTATGGGCGAGAAAAACAGTATGAAAAATTGAATGATCTTTCCAAGAGAATAAAAAGAACAAGGCCTGTGCCTGGCTTCACAGCTGACTCACACATAGAGCCATGGGAAAACACTCATCCTTTTTTGGGCCTCAATTTTCTGCCTCTCTTCTCTCAAGGAGACCATGAAGACAAGTAATATAAAATCTCTGGTATTCTTAAGGCTTCATGAAGCATAAAACCTTATGTTTTTTCAAGTAAGATAAAAAGTATCTGCTCCTATTAGACTGAAATTCAAATTTCCAAAAACTGATGTCTGGTGTAGTGGCACACATAAGGATCATGGTAACACATGCATGGATTTGTTTGCTGAATAGTCATTCAAGGGATTCTCAGCATTTATCCTTCTTCCTCCTGCAAATACCTCATTTCAGTGCCCATTTTGTTGCACATACTACTTCAGAAGTGTTTCTTCTTCTAGCCCAAGGGTCAACTGAGAGCAAAATGCTGTGCCCCACTCATCTTTGTAACCAGCGTCTCACATAATCTAGCATATAACTAGTGCTTTAAAAGCACTGAAGGACAGGAGGAACGAAAAATCAAGGACCACTCAGACCATCATCCACACCAACTCATCTAGAACTCTGTGCCAAGAAATTTCAAAATAGTAAGCAGGATAGAAAATGTCCCTGGCCTCAAGAAGTTTTCAGTTTATCATGTATACAGTCTATCAGACCATCAAATAAACCACTTCACAGAGGACTGGGTAGTAACAAGAGCTATGAAGAGAAACAAATCTAGACAAGGGGATAGAGAGTGATAGAGGGCTGATATTTATTGTGCTCACTATAGAAAGCCTCTCAGAAGAGTTGGGGAGTGGGGGCAGTTAAGGAATGATTCTTCTGTCTCTATGAGTCCCTGGTATATAACAGGTAGGCTATGTTGCTAAGAATTGAATATCCACTTACTGTACAACAGTTAAGATAGATACCATATACAAGAAAAAGAAGAAGAATATGGATGTATCATCACTTATCTGCACCCAGAAAGTCCTTCTGGAAAAATGAAGGCAGTTCCCCCTCCATAGATGACCAATTAATCAGACACTAATGTTGCTTGTGCTCCATCATGAAGGCCATGCTGGCAGTGAGGATGCAGCAGGCTCCTCTCGAATGTGTATGAAATGAATACTCATAAGGACCCACTTAAATACAGTATCAGAGAATATTTTCACTCACCTCCCCTATGCATACACTTCCTGGGATATTAAAGCTTTCTCCAAAGAAAGGAGCTCCTTCAGGATCCATCACTTAACAACAGCCATAGATTTAACATTACTGTTTTTGCTGATGCTACTATACCTATCAAAACATAAACCAGAATCCTCATGAAATCTTACTCATTAAATAAATGCTGAGACAAGCCAAAGTGCCTTTGCACACACCATCGCTTTCTTCTCAATCCTACTTGATCATGTAATCATCACCCAGCTTTTAAAGTGATGCTGTGAAGTGACCTTGTGTATCCTCTTTATAATATTAGAGGTGTCAATCAACCAAGTATAACTGTAACTAGGGCAAAAAGTTACTGACTTTCCTATGAGTACTATAACTCTCTGCTGAGATTTTGTAGGTGCAAAGTTTCTGCTATAACATGTTATATTTTAAAATTCATGTTCTACCAAGTGATCCATCTCCTATAAGAGTGAATCTCAACAAATTATATGTTTGGAAAGATGTATGAAACCCAGGGACTACCTCTACTGAAATGACATTAAACAAACACACAACTGTTTAGTCTCCTGAATACCAAGTAACTAATCTAACTAGTAACTTATACGCTTTTTTAAACTGAAGCTTCATGCTTATGATAATAAAGCAATCTGACAACCAATCATTCAGAACTTTGGAGAAGGTGGGAAAACCCTAAACCTAATTGTTTATCCAACAAAAATCAACTTGTTCTGTAAATTCATGGCCAAAGACTCCTGAAAAAACTATGTCTAGAAGGAATTAGAGGCCATCAGGTCCAGCCATCTTATTTTAAGGATGATGAAACCATAGCCCAGGGAGGTTACCAAGCTTGCCTAAGATGTCAGTACCAGTAAGTTGCAAATCAAGAACTAGCATTAGAGCCCTTTCTCTGCTCCGTGTGGTTGTCACAGCCAAAGTCACGTCCTTGCACTTTCTATGCCCAGAGAAGAGAATAAGACTCCTTGGGATTTCTCTTCTGAAATGTATCTAACATCACTGAAAATCCATTCTGACTTAGAGTAGAGCCATCTATCACTCAGGCTCAAAAGCATTTGTTTTATGACATCTTCTCTCTCTTTTATGATGTTACCCATGTCGTGTTTAGCCAAGCTGGACTTCTGGGTCTCATCCTCTAAAGCAGAAACATTTAACCTAGTGCACTGGAAACAAGCTGTGCAGGGAAGGACTCCAGGATGTCACAAGGTCCTGCTCTGCATCAAAGCTAAATCCTGAGAAAGGGCAACTTCAGCATCAAAGGAAGATAACTCTTACTATTGTTATGAGGGACTTTTTTTTACACCTATCATATCTATTTTTGGCCTTTTTTAATGTTAAAGTCTCTACTGCTTTATAGAAAACCTGAACATATGTATTTGTATGAGCTGGTTCTGATTATGCAAATCTATTAATCAATCCATACTCCTGTTTATCATTTTGTCATCTTTCATCTACTCCCTGACTCATATAACCTTTAGTAGATAACTTTTCTATGCCTCAATTTCCTCAATGACAAAGTAGACTTAGTAATACTAATCCCATCTTCCCTTGACTGAAAGCTTATTAGAATTCTTAGAAGAAAGTGCCTTTAAAACTATTCTACTTCTATACCATTAGTAATAGGCTCTTATTAATCATCTTCATTGTGTAAGCATGAAATAAAAGGTACTGAAGAGGTCATCCTAGCATTTAAAATATGAAAACTAGGTTAACAAAAGAATTTGGTCCATTAGATGTTATTGCTCTAATCAGGCAAAATACCCTCTGAAATCTTGATATTGTTACAAAATAATATCCTTCTGAAATGTTAAAAAAGCAAGCACACACACAAAAAAATTTCTTTGCCTGCTCTCTCCTCCTGGTTGATTTCTTTAGAAGGTAATTGGACCTGAGACAGGAAGAAGACACTGGAAGGCAGGCACTAAACTTGACACTGACCAACACTTAAAAAGATGAGGTCATCAGTCACCATCAGTGACACCTGTTTGCATCATTTTTCTAAGATCAGGGCCATATTTTCCTGAATTTGACCATTTTTAACCAAAACCCACTTGTGGCTGAGGGCACACAGTTACAAGCTATTCTCAAGGGTTCACTTTGTGGCTATGGGTCAATGAATCCCTTGGTTCAACTTTGATTTTAGCCCCGTGATTATATCCAACCAAACTAAGTGGCCACACAGGAATACTTGCTAGAATTTTAGATTAAGTTTTTCTTGTATATAAACAATACTGCTTTGGTTTTGTGACAAGTAATTGAAAACACTTAATGTGTCTTTTTATTGTCTGGATTATATAACATAGGCCCTGAGAGACCCTGGTCGAGTGGGAAGATACCTTTGAATGTTTTTCCTTGCTTTGTCACTTTGAGACAGGGAAAGCCATCTAGAATTTAAAGCTCTGTCCACAAAGGGAAAACCATCTAAAGGATAATCAAAAAATCTAAAGAAGTATTTCACATTTCCAGCTACCTGTTGATCTGCTTATATGGAGATCAGAAAACCAAAGAAAAAACAATGAGAATTCTCTTACCAAAATTTCTGTCCTTCAGTAATTCCTTGTTTGTTTGTTTGTTTTGACATGTATTAATAACCAAATGCCTCTCTTTAAGGTCAAATTAGATCAAATTAAATTGTAATTTGCATCTGAAGAAGGCAGCATCCTAAACAACCTACCCAGAGCTTAGTTTCATTAAACAGTTACCTGAATTTTTATTTATAGTAGACACTAAATGGAAATAGTAAAAAGTAGGTCTATTCTCTACATTATGCTCTAGCATCCCACCTAATCAGATGTATCAACAAATAACGCCTGAAATATCTGGAGTTAGAGTCAGTGAGGTGTTAATTATTGACCAAGCCAATTGTGATTAATAAAGTATGAAGCATAAACTGCTCAGCAACTTTTTTATGAAGCTTCTGTACAACTTGACAATTATTAGAACAAGATACATGAGATCCAAAGGCAGAATTTCAAATTGCTATGTAACACCATGTAGCTTCCACAAGGGAACATAGTTAAGCATTGAAGAGGACAGTCCAAGACAAATTTCACCTGTAGCAAGTCAGAGTGCCTGCCTAATTCTTTAACATGAAAGTGTAAACACTACTGGATTCTAAGAGATAGAAGATTTATTGTCAAGACAGCTGAAAATCTCAGCTTCCTTGCTGCATTTCTTATGTGCTTCCTGCTTAAATTTTTGCATCATCTCAGAGTGCTGTACTGTTAATGTCTCGTTTCACTTATGGAGAACCAGTTCTGGTCAGGGAGTGTTTGGGGTGATTTTGCATTCAGTAAAGAAGACCAGCTTGGGTAAGAAAGACAAGTCCTGTAAGGTATCTTTTCTGCCCAGAGAAAGAGCATTGTTCAATTAGGCTGATGTCACTCAGCCTGGTTCTTACCTTTAATATGCCTTTTGATCCTGAGGCCAGAGCTCATCGGGCTGATGCCTGTGGATGTTGTCATTCCAGCAAAAAAGGATGAGTTCTTGCAGCAACGTCTGTGGGTCCAGGCAGGCACAGGCTGCTACCGAGGGCGGGCACCAGCGCTATGGAGTCCGGTCCTACCTGCACCAGTTTTATGAGGACTGTACCACTTCCATCTGGGAGTATGAGGATGATTTCCAGATCCAGAGATCACCCAACAGGTGGAGCTCAGTATTCTGGAAGGTAAGTAAAGAGCATGGGTTTAACTCAGGAAATGGAGAAACCATTTCATATGGTAAGTAATTCAGCTGCAGAGAACTGAGATGTCTAGGACTCTGTGTGTGCATCCCTCTTGGTGATTCTAAGTGCAGTTTTCTTCCTTAGGAAAGGAGACTGTAAACCTTGGGAAGAAAGCCTCTAAACACAGCACAGTTGTTGATTTTCAGGTAAAATGTAAATAGATATAATCACCATCATTATTATTTTTGCTACTGTTATTAACGTGCCACATAAATTCACCAACTATGAAAGCCATTCAAAGGCAAACCTGTTTTAAGCCTCCCCTACAGGTTTGGATGGTATCATTTTAAAAGTTACAATAGTTATTAAAAGAAATAGTTGGGTACTGGAGAGAGTTAATGCTGAGGCATAATACAGTGGTCAGTCTACCTGCCCTACTTCTACTAGATATGTGGTCATAAAGTTCTATGAACTTCAGCTTCCTTGAAAGGTAGGAGCCTTGCTGGACAAGACATTCAGTCATTCAGTATATAATCAGTGAGCACCTACTCCATTCAAAAAGTTGCAAAGTGCTGGAAATTAAAGCAGTAAATGGGAGAAGAAAAAGTCCCTGCCCTTACAAAATTTACGATCTATCATGGAAAACAGACCATAAACAAATAAACCACATAATAATAGCAGAAAGTAGCAAGTATTATTCTTGCAAGTAGCAAGAATAATAGTGAGCAAGTGCTTTGAAGAGAACTAAATCAGAATAAGAGGCTAGGGAGGGATAGAGAACTGATATTTAGTTATGCTGATCACAGAAAGCCTTTCGAAGAAGATGACCTTTGAACAAGTACCAGGATAAGCTGAGGGAGGAGATGATAAAATTATTTGGCTGAAGGTCATTCTCGGTTGGGAAAATAGCAAGTCCAAAAGCTCTGAAATGGGAACAAGTTTGGTGTGTTTGAAAAATAGCAAGAGGTCCAGAGGAAGTGGAGAGGAATGAGAGGGAGGAAAGAACAGTTGACAAATTCAGAAAAATGACAGGACACAGATGATTTGTGTGGAGCTTTGGAGGTGATTGTGAAGACTTTGACTTTCCCCTTGAGAGACACAAGAAGCCACCTGAATGTTCAAGTAGATGAGTGACGCGACCTGACCAATATTTTAGCAAGATCACTGTGGCTGTTGCACAGAAAACAAATTACAGAAAGATTACAAACACATTACACAAAGATAGAAGTAGCTAAATTATTTAGGAGTCTATTGAAGTACCCAAGGGCAAGAGATAATAGTGGCTTAGATTAGAATGGTATTAATGGAGATGGTAAAATGTAGTCAGATTTAACATGAAGTTTGGAGGCCAGCTGTTAAGACACATCGGTCAATTAGACATAAAAGAAGAGTCAAGCCTGACTCCAAGACTTGCAGGCTGAGATCTTTAGTGGATGATGTTATAACTCACTGGGATGGAGAACACCGGGAGAGCAGTGGGATGGGTGATGAATCAAGAGTTTGATTTTGGCATTGCTACATTGGCGAGTCAGATACAGCTTAGCAACTAAACACCACCACCACAATGGAGGTGCCTATTAATCATGCAAGTGGAGATCTGCAGAAGTATTTAAATATACCAGTCTTCAGCTCCTGAATTGGGAGTCACTGACCTATAGAATGTATATAAGGTACCAGAGTAGAAAAGGGCATCCAAGAAGAGAGTACAAACATAAAAGAGAAGAAGGCGTCGGATGTTCCAACATTTATAAATCAGGAAAAGGACAAGGATGTAGGAAGGGCTACTGAGAAGGTTCAGCTTTAGATGATGCCTCAGATTCCCTCCAGTCTATAATTCTGTGTTTTAGAGATTTCCGATCATCCCCAACTTTCTCCCAAAATATCACAGAAATTTAGACACTGATACTGACATAAACTTCCAATGTACTGGCAATAGAATTCAACAAGAGGCAAGTAACAATGTAATGATTATTAGCATGGACTCTGTCCTCGGCGGCTGTTGCTGTTGTTCAGTTGCCAAGTCGTGTCTGACTCTTTGCAACCCCATGGGCTGCAGCACGCCAGGCCTCCCTGTTCTTCACCATCTCCCGAAGTTTGCCCAAGTTCATGTTCGTTGTTTAGGTGATGCCATCCAGCCATCTCATCCTCTGACGCCTTCTCCTTCTGCCCTCAATCTTTCCCTGCATCGGGGACTTTTCAGTGATTGGCTGTTCATATCAATGACCAAAATACTGGAGTTTCAGCTTTGGCATCAGTCCTTCCAATGAGTATTCAGGGTTGATTTCCCTTACGATTGACTGGTTTGAGCTTATTGCTGTGCAAGGGACTCTCGGGAATCTTTTCCAGCACCACAGTTCAAAGACATCAATTCCTAGGCTGACATGGGTTCAAATCTCAACTTTTTCATTTAATAGCTATAACTATTATACCAGGTAACTCAGTGGTAAAGAATCCACCTGCCAATGCAGGAGATGTGGGTTTGGTCCCTGGGTCAGGAATGTCCCCTGGAGGAGGAAATGGCAACCCACTCCAGTATTCTTGCCTGGAAAATCCTACAGACAGAGGAGCCTGGTGGGCTACGGTCCATATGGTCACAAAGAGTTGGACATGACTAAGCATGAACATGAGAAACTTGACCTTAATGAGCCTCTAACAGTGATACATATAATACCTACCACATACTTGTGAGAGTTAAGTAAGATAACATATGCAAAGAGCTTAGTATAATATCTGGTAGGTACTCAATAAGCATTTAATGTATTAGCTATTATCAGATGTCACATGGAACACTGAGTTCTGAAATAGAAATAAAACTGGAAATTCAGTTAATAAGTAAAATATTGGGTAATACAATTGTTACTATGGGTTTACCCAAGACCTCTGTTGATTCAAAATCTTACTACTGTTAGGTTCTCTATATTAGACTTGGTCAAGCCAGCCTTTTTATTCTGTACAAGTGTTGAATCCATACTGGCCTGGACCAATGAAATACATAGCCAAGCTTGGCACATCTTGTATTTACCCAGAGAAGTGGGTGGTTGCTTCTCTATGTGTCAAAAAAACAAATATTTGCCTGACAGTTCCGTTGTGCCAAGAGCCTAAAATGCCTCTGACATACAGAATATTGCAAATGCTGGTGGTTCCAAAGCACTAGTGGCTATACGACTTGTGAAGCTATAAATCCATCAAATAATATACGGGTATGGATTTACAATAAAGAACTCTCAGTAAATTACTAACCCCAGGATTCAGATTTCAGTATTTTCTCTCTTCTATTTTATACAAACAAGATCCAAAAATATTTGTTCCCTGTTGTACTGGACCTAGTTCAGAGAATAAAACCGAGCAAACATCCATGGCCTTATAGAGGTTATATGCCAGCAAAATCCAAATCCTAAATACATCCTAATCATAAAACACTCAATGGGGCTTTGAGAAGCCTACAGTCAACCAGAAAAAGCCAAGAATGGATTGTCTTAGAGATCTCATCTCAACCAAGGGAATACACCAGACACTCCCGGGTTGCCTCCTGGGGGATATAAGGGAACTCTTGCCAGCCAGTATGTGAAGTACTTTGTATCAACACAGAGAAAGGCACTGATTATGCATGTTTCCATTATGATTCTTTTTTATGTTTTTTTCTTCCATTTCAAACTGCATCTTATACATAGTTCAAGATGTGGGCTCCCCCGACCCCTCTTCCACTCTAGTGTTGCTCAGGCCACAGGGGTCTCTCACTGGGGCCACACTCACAGAGCCTCAGCAGGTCTCTGCTGCTGAGCCAGCTCTTTAATGGGGGCAGCAATGGGAGGGGGTTTAATGAGAATGGAGACTGAAATCAATGGGGCCTGAGTTAGAAACTTTATGGGACTTCCCTGGTGGCTCAGATGGTAAAGAATCTGCCTATAAGGCAGGAAGACCAGGGTTCAGTCCCTGTATCAGGAAGATCCCCTGGAGAAGGAAATGGCAACCCACTCCAGTGTTCTTGCCTGGAGAATTCCATGGACAGAGGAGTCTGGAGGGCTACAGTCCATATGGTCCATGGGGTCCCAAAGAGTCGGGCATGACTGAGCGACTAACACTTAAGAAACTTTGCTCTAACCATGGATCAACATAACCTCGTTCCCACAATGCTGTTCTTTTTTTTAACAAATATTTATATGTCCACCATGCATAAGACTCTGGGTTCAGTTGTGAACACGACACTTCTTCGCTTGTGAGTAAGGTATAGCTTTGACCTGACAGAGTTCACAGTCAAATAAGGAAGATGGATGTGTACGGAGATTGTTACAATCCACTGTGACAGCGTCGCAGTACATACTGGGAGCCCAGGGTTTGGGGCAGGGAGACCCTGATGCAGCCTGGGGAGGAAGTGACTCCACAGAGGCATTCACAGGAACAGGGGATCCATCCCAAGAGAAAGAAAAGCATTGCAGAAGCATTTGTGCTAGAAGACGGCAGTCTTGGGAGATGCCAACAGTTCAGTGTGGCTGGGCTAAGGGTGGAGCACAAAGGCCAAGAGACGAAGCAAGAGAAGAACATGGGAATGTATACAAGAGCTGGATCACGGAGACTTTGAAAGGCTGTGAAGTAGAAATGTCTCCAGAACCTTCCAGCTTGATTGAGTACAGTGAGAGGGTAAGGTAATAAATCAAGACTTTCTTGGGAAGTCTGTCTCACAGCCAGGAACAAACAGCCTCGCCCCACCACCACCACAGCACACACACACAGTTTTATACACATTCTCTGCGCCTGACATTCTAGATGCCTGCATGACTGCCTCCAGCACTGCTGACTTCCCCAGTGCCTGCAAGTGCTGCTGTCTGCAAAAACCTGTATGACAAGGTCTCACCTACCCCCTGCCACCCACTGCCTCTGGCCGAGAACCTAACAGGCTGTCGTGGAATTTTTCTTTTTCATCCTTGCACTTGACTAAGACTGCTCCCACTTCATTGTGCAGCAAACAGCCAAAGTACAGCAGGTATGAACTAATAGAAGCAGGC